CTCTGCTGAAGTGGGAAAATATCACCGTGCTAGGATTTAGCAGCAATAGCAACAGGTAATGCACGGCCTCTCGACTCCTACTGCCTTCTCTTCTATTTTTCTCAGTTTCTAAGAGCAAGATGAAAAATGGTCAGTGGCAAAACAGCTCTTGCCGTATGTGATATACAGACTTAAGTCCCTTGCTTCCAAACTGTGGCTACGAGGAAGAGGGATAAACAAGAAGGAACTGAAGTACTTGACAAAAGCAAAAAACTCACACAAACTCAACTCCAGAAGAGAACTACTGTGATATTACGGGAAATGTTACTCCATAATCTTCACATTGTATTTTCACATAGATTGAGAGTTCTATGTTTAACAGTTCATAGGGGAGCAAATCAAGACCTGGAAAAGTGAGGTCCCATCAATGCCACTTTGAATACCCTTCCTTCTAGAGTACCTTAATGAGCCTTCAAACATTCAGGTCTCTAAGTTTTGATGTTCATTCTCATGGTTACATCAAATTTTGTATCATAATTACATTTGCTAGTTCAAGATTTTCCTGGCAGTGTTGTTCTGCATCTCTCCTCTGGAGACCAAGAAACTTTGTGAACCAGCAGTAAAAGAGGAGAGGATTTTTGCATTGTATCATACCAAGAGGGAAGTCCTCCTTTTCTTATGCTGCCTTGAAAATTGTAAACACATGGGAATCTAAGAGGTTTGAAAAATATCAGGATGACAAGATGCAAACAATAGTTATTAAAAGTAGATAAAAATATTCCAAGAACTGAAATGGGGAGGGGGGGAGTTCTCAAATTAAACAATTACTTGAACAAAGTTGCTCAAATTTCCTATCCTACTTGTATTCTTATGAAAAGAAAGGGGGAAAAAAAAAAAAAAAAAGCAAGCTTGGAATCACAACGGCATCACTTTAGAGGTGCCAAGGTTACTATTGGAGCTGCTTCTTGCCCAAACAGCTAAGCTGTCTACCATCAATCTGCTTCTGGGATAAATAGGATACTGGCTACCGTCCCAAATTCAAGCAATACAAACAAATAAGAAAGAAATCTATGTTAGATTTGTAAAGTGAAATAACTGGAGAGCTCTACGGCAGTGCTGAGCCCCTGGACTTGCTAGGGACACTTTTGTTCTCCCAAGAGACTGCACTTGCCTTTGAACTTTCAGCCATATAGAAAAAAGGCTGAGTTGAAATGTCAGCATCATCTTGGATTCAAATCAATCAGCTTGATGCATGATTGCAATAGCTAAACCACTTCACCTCTGCACTGCCCTCGTCCATATGTTCTTTATATCAGCAGTCAGCAGACTGGGTGGCTCAGTGGATTAATTTCCTGTCCTAGGCTTGGGCTTCAGTTTAAACAAAACAAAAAAACCCTGAAACTGGAAAATAAAAATTAGCATCTACTGACAGTTAAATTCACCAGACTTGTTTGCATCAAGTCTCTTTCTCCATCCAAGAAAGTGGCAAGAAATCCTTTGGGAAGCCCTGGTACAACTGGTGATTTTTAACTATCTACTCAACTAGCTGGTCACAGTTCTACAAAAACAATAAAGGAACTAGAGACATTTCAAATGTTGACATACCTTTGGAGGAAGGGAAAGCAATGAACAGAAGGAGGGAGAGCCCCAATCAGTGTCGACTTAAAAAAGGAAACAGATTGGAAGTAGCCATCCCCACCTCAGTAAATTAATAGCCCAGAGTAACAAAATCTCCACCCACTTCTAGACCTGGGCTTCCTCCAGACGATGCTGCTCTTTATCAGCTACAATGCATTAAATTCCCATGATAATTTAAATCTAAACAACGTGCATTAATGTAGGTGCCTGCCAGCTGGTGACAGTTAAGTGGTTACTTTCTCAAGCTAAACTTATTAGCTAAGGATCAAGACACTGTAATAATCAAATTGCATTTAACCGCTTGCTCTATTAGGGCTCAGTATGTTACTGCAGAAGGGGAGTTTTCTCATCGAAGGTGTGTTAGAGCAAGCCAGTCTCATCAGGAGTCTGTCATACTTTGGGGCTAGACATCCATGCTGGACTGTTTCCTCTGCAAAAGAAAAATTGACCTGCCATTTGGGAAATAACAAGAAAGTATGCATGTTGGAAATAGCTGCACTGCAGCCTCTGAATGATTGCAAGTTCTTTGACTTGATTTCCTTGGTTCACCCTTCCATCATCCTATCCTCCCCCTCATAAAATGCTAAAAGAAATAAAATTTAAAAGGACAACAAAGCCCTCATAAAAGGACAGCTAATAAAAATAATCCATCCTCCAGATACACTACAGTGGCTCCCCCCAAAACACTGTTCCAGAACAGCACAAAAAAAGGAGCAAGTATCAACCCTGCTCACTGAGGATTAACGGAGGAATCAATAGATAGGATGTCTCAAGCCTCAAGATACAAAAAGCACCATCAGTCCAAAGAAGGGATGCCACAGCCATGTCCATGCACACACAACTCCCAAAACTGCTCTGTGTGCTTGATCAATCCATTACATCCTAGCTTGATTTGTCCTACACATGAAAATGCAACGTTACTATTCCAGGGCCCATTGGGAAAGAAAACTCTTTACTTCAGTCTCTGGGAACAGGAGACCTCTTGAAGTGGAAGTGCAGAGCCATTGTGGTTGTCATTCTGCTGACACATGGAGAACAATAGCGACTGATAGAGTTAGAGCATTTGCAACACAGCAAGAAGGCATGTTAAAAATAGTGCGGGTCCAATCTGCCTTCAGTCATACCTACCTCACATCAACTTCAAAAGCACCAGCTGAACATACAAGTGGAATCAAATATTGAGGAGAAATCTAACTAATACCAAAAAAAGATTAAAGCATTTTGAGGTTCTACCCTGCTAATTCGCCATGGCTTCATAACTGCACTGTTTTTGTTTTGTTTCAGTTTAGTTTTCTGTTTTCTTTTGTCTGCTGTTTCCAAGAAGGACTCACACAGATATAAGCATCCTACCCTCACAGAGGAACCGCATTTGTAGTAGGAGAGAGTGCAGAAAGGAAAGAGCACAAAAGGCTTTGTATCAGATTGCCAAAAAGCCCTTTTTAAAAAAAAAAAAAAAAATCTTTTCAGCCTCTTTTACTTACAATTCCAAGTGACACCAACATTAAGAATTAACACAAGAAGAAAGTAAATACTTCATTTTTTTAAATGGATGCCTCTGGACAGCTTGAGGTGCTGTGCACAGCACTAGTGTCCATACTGCTGCTAGTAATTAAGTGGCACAACTCTGCTGTACTAGAAAGGGGTCCTTTTTTTTTTTATTTTTCTCCTTCTTTCAAGACTATGGGACTGTCAGTAGTGCCAGATGTTTTAGGGAAGAAAAAAAAGGTACAAAGAATCTCACACATGAAAGTGAGGGCTTGCTACTGGCTTTCTGCTCACACTCTACAGACCTTATCCAAGCCTAAAAGAACAGTTCCACCTTGAAAGCCGACTGCATAAAATTGTCACCTCGTTCCACAGACCTGCTCCTGTGAGATCGCTGCTGACTTTCTCAAGCAAGCTTATGTTGGCTTTTTCTTTCCACTGAACTCTGCTGAGATGGATCTGGCACTGCAGGAGGGAGCTAGATTCTCTCCTTTACACCAGCAGCACCACTAAACTGTAATTACTCACACCTGTCCAAACCTACAGGCACAAATGGGCTGCACACACGGGCTTCTCGGGTCCCTGGTTAGATCCTTACCCAGGCTAAGCTGTAGCTACTTTGGAAATAACAGGTCTGCCACAATCCTTAGCATCCCTCTCTCCTGCAGCAACAGGTAAAAATCCAAGCAGAACACAGCAGCTTCTCTCTCCCAGGCTCTTAGCATGCTTTTAGCAGCATGCTAAAATGCAAAGCTGTCTCCTGCAGATTGCAATTTAGGGTAGCTTTGCCACTTTTTAAGACTTTTCTTGAGCTTCTGGGAAGCTATTGTTTCCTCAGCAGCCTGAAGCGAGCTGCTGTCTGCAACCATCATTCTTTGTGACTGCAATGAGACAAATTCTTAGAGATTTGCCTGAATTGTGTGATTAGCACCAAGGTATCACAGCACAAAGAAAAAGAGGTGCAGCTACAAACAGCAGAGCCTCAGAGATGTTGGACACCCCCAATGACCCTTCACCATCCAGCAGAGGTAGTCTGAGTTGACCTGATGCAAATAAATAGGAAACTAAAGGCTTAATTTCTCTCCCATTCATAAACCATGGACACTGACGACAGGTTCAGCAGATGCCTTGATGCCTAAACCTGAAACTCGACAGAGAAGCAGGATGCAGAAGCAACAGCTAAAACAGAAAACATTGGGAAAGAAAATGCAAAACATGTCCTCTTTGTCCCTCATTATCAGAAAAGGAAAAAACTTTCCTTACTTCCAGCTCTGGAAAGAGCCCTGCATTTTCGTCAGTGTGAAAGATCAGATGCCAAACCCAGAACTGTGCTTTCACATGCAATGTACAACCTGAATGTTGCACCTATAAGTCGGGGGAGGGCGGGGAGGGCAGGAAGGGGAACAGAAGTTGCCTAATTTAATTCAAAACTTTCTGGGAACACAGATAGTACTTGTGCCCAGACTTCACAGGCATAAAACTTTTACAGTCAGCCATCCAGGGACCGGTTTTCATCAGCTACAGCAACTGATGGTGATGACAGTGGAATGTAGACACACTGACATGGAGAAAGTACATTTTCTGAGGGAGGGTGCAATGGGGACACCAAGCATGAGTACACTGATAAACAGGTCATCCCTGAGTACCCATTTCTTAATTTCTTTCCCCTCCCTATTCAGGCTTCTTTGTAGGCATTCCATGTGGTCTGTTTTCCAAGATCACCTTTCAGAGCTTGTGTGTGAACATTCAGATAATGGATGGGAAGAGAATAGGTGATTTGTTCCCATGTTTGAGAGGCATAGAGCAAATTAAGGAAAAAACCCCAACTCAACCCAGCCAGTCCAGTCACACATCCCCTTGCTGCTCTGTAAGGACAGATACATTGCTGGATATCTTACCCTCTTCACAGTTGCTCCCTGTGAAGCCAGGACAGCACCTCCACTCCAGTGTGGTCACAGTTCGGTAAGACATTTTGTACGTGGGCCTGATGAGAGTCCTGTAACTAACACAAACAAGAAGTCAGTAGAATGTACTTACCCACTCAAGGGCAGTGTTGCTACTAATCGTAGCACATCTTCCTGCCTGGATATCTCTCCAGAGCACCCAGCCACCCCCACTCCCAGAAAAAGGAGACACAAAATAACAGAGCAATGGTTTACCACAGCATGAATCTGATTCAACAACCCTTATTTTTCTCCTTAAGACCTCATACTCTTCTGGCTCTTCCCCATACCTCCCCTCCAAACACAACCAGTATGCTTTATGGAGGTCTCATCGCTACCAAGTCATTGCAAGTAGCAGAGAAGTTGACTCTTGTTTCCCTTACTCTGCCTCTATGTGGATTTCTCTGACGTTGAACAAAGGCTGGCATTAGTCTTTCCTCACTCAGTACTATTAGAGTTTCCAAAATGTTACTCTCACAAAAATTGCATCAATCTCTCGGGTGTCCTCCCTTCTCCCACCCACACTGCCCAGATGTGGTGTGTATCGACACATCAGCGTGACAGAGATCATCATGACACACTACATTAGCGATCTCTGTGGAGCCTTTTTGCCAGATAGCTGACCTGTGCCTCATTTCTCCCCATCTGAGATAGGGTTATAATCTTCCTCACCACAGCTGAGGTGCTGCAGGACACATCTGTTAGCTCTGTGTGCAGCACATAGCACCCCAGGGTCCCAATTAAAGCACAAGTACTGCCATGCCCCACTGGAAACTAGAGGGCTACCTGCAGACACAAGCAGACCTGCGCAAGGCACCAGTGATTCTGAATTCAACACAAAACAGACAGTTGTGTAACTGCCAGCTTTTCTTTTAAAACAGCAGTCCTTCAAAGCTGGCAAATCAAAGTTTTCCCAGTATACAGCCAGACAAGTCACTGCTGCTGCTATTCATGAAGCTAAAAGCAAACACAGAAGTCGTACTCTACAAGCTCCCCTCAAAATTCCTACCCTTATTTAACAGCCAAAGGAATTTGGCACGCACGGGGAGAGGCTGAAGCTTTGGGAATACAGTGTTGCAGACTGCAGCTTTATGCTTCTCTCTCAAGGCCAGGCAGACACCAGCCCCCAGCACCCGGGTCTTCTCGGGGGAAGAAGCCTTGTCCCGCAGTGCCGAGAGCCGCCAGGAGACGGAGCGCTGCCCCAGCCCGCTCGGCCTGGCCCAAGGCCTAAAGGGAGCTAGAAATCGCAGGAATCTCATCCAAAACCCCTCCAAGGGGTAGCAGGCACAGGTGTACATCCAGGACGGCACTGCTGTGACATTGGTACAGTTATTGGGAAGAGCAGTAGCAGAGGCTTGCCAGGAGAGGCTGCCCGCGTAGGTCTTGGAAAGAAGGCAGCAGGCTCAGTCGTGGTTAACGCAGTCTTTGAGAAACTAATTTCTTAGTAAGCTGTTACTGCCAAACACAGAAACCAACTTCTGCTCTAGCCACTGGAGAGGAGGGCTGCACAACCTTCCTCCTGAGCACGGGACTGCCTGCACTTGGAACGGCATCGCCCAGCAATGGGAGAGCAACGCTCTCTCCTGAGAACATTACATCCTCACCCTCCGAGTTGCCAAAAAGCACGCCAGTTACTGCTAATACTGACAACTGTGATCCAGGCACTTGTCTAATACGGGCTGGACAGAGCCAGCTCGTCCCACCTAGTTCTTTGCGCTTCCGCATCTAATAGCATTCAGAAGTTTGCAGTCATGAGTGAGTTTGAGGACTTGGCACCACACTGATGTAGGTAGAGATTCAGTGCTTTTTCACAGAGAAGACCTAAGGCACTAAGACTTTAAGTGTCTTGCTGAGGGTCTCTCAGAACAGCTCTGACAAAGTTCAGGAACTGAACCCAAGTCTCCTGACTCCCAAGTCCTGGCGTTGGACTCGAGACATCTTTCCACACGTAAGCCCCGAACCATCAGTCAGAAGTTCATGACTTTGTCACTAACACCACAGCTGGATTTGACCTTGAGATGAAAGTCTCCAGCCCTATTACCAGTGTCCGGAGCCAGCTAGTCTCCAACCACACCGTGATTTTAAAACCATGTTTCTGCCAACACCAAGATGTTAAAGCTCTCTCAAACTTCATTATGAAGTGTGGAGAGTGGCTTGAGCCAGACTGGAATCTTGGCAGAAGTTCTGTGTCGGGGAAGTAGCTATAGTTTAATCCTCAAACGATCAAGGACTTCTTGGGGCATGACAAACGTGTAGCTCAGCTGTCACAGCCTACCACCCACCCTGAATTTCCTGGAAGAGTCCTGACATTTGCAGCTCTGTTCAGCATCGTGCAAGTCAAGCATGTGAAGTGGTCCCAGCTTGCTAGCTCTGATTTTCTCTGAAGTTGCTCTGTTCTTCATAGCATCATTTTTCCTCAATCACATGACACAGCACATGTTGTTACATATATCATCACATCATGCAGATTTCTGACTGCTATCCAAGGAGGGGGGCAAAAACAACTCCTTTAGCAAAGCATCACCGCTGTCTGATATCTGAAGTGCTGCAATTGAAGGAGTGGGAAAAACATGGAAAAAAAGGAGAGGAAAAGAAGATACTTGTTAAAGATCAGAAGCCTCAGAATGCAAATGTGTGGAAAAGACAACAGGCAGAAAAAAGGATTGGTAGCAGAAAAGGGAAGCCTTTCCCTTGGATGTCGCCCAAGCCACAAACACTGGCATAGAAATCTGCAAAACCACAGTAAGTGAAGAGGTTAGGATGAGCCACAACCTGAACCTCTTTGCTTCCCAGAGAGCCAAAGGATGTGCTTAGCATACACAGTTCCCTTCAGCAGAAGGCTTCCAAGCACTTCAGAAAAACAAACTACCAGGACCTGCCACCCTACCGCAAAAGATAGGCATCATTTACCAACATGTTTGTTGAGGCTCACAAGATCCCAAGGAGTGAAGCAACACCAAGGAAAGAACCCAGAAAACTCAACTAGCGGCTGCTAGATCAGATCAAACATGTGGCTGTCCTTAGAAACTGCCTGATCTGTGTCAGACGAGCTACAGGAGCTCATCTGCACACAGACATCGTTTGGGAAACAGAGAGTCTCTTGCTTGTGTCTCAAAGTGACTGCCCAGGAAGTGGTAATTTGGGGAGGGAGCATGAGATGACTGATTAGCTGATTTGAGGGTATGAAGCTAGAAATACTGGAGAGGTCAGGACAGACTGAGGGATGGCAGCCAACAAGTCTCACGCCTCAGCGCACAAGGATATGTTCCCCTTGCTCTCAAGGAAGTGTCACTGAACACAACAGCCAGACATGACAAGAAAGAGAAAGAGTGTCACATTCTTGGATCAGAGCCTCAAAAAATCAGGTCAAAGAGACGGGCGTGATCTCTGCCATGACCCAAGCAGGACAGCCTGTCACACACAGGAAATACCTTCCCCCTTTATGGATTTCCCCTGCCCTTTGACACTTACAAACAAAGCTGCTTGTACACAAAGACCGCATGAGAGGGAAGGCGTGAAACTCATTTCCACATCACAGAATATGGTTTTGTTAGTGTGATTCATTCAGACATAGAAGTTTGTGCCCGAGGAGACCTCAGGGACCTTCAGAGTCTTCTATTCATTTTTATTCAAGTTCCAGGTTGAAAGTTTCAACATCATTGACTTTTGGATTTCACAATAACAAGAGAAATGAACTTACTTTTTTGACTGGCAAAAAATCCAGAAACCATGGAATTCAAGCTTTCTTTTACCTACCACTCTCATGGCAATGAAGTCACTATAAAAGAAGTGGGTCCAACCCTGTATATATAACTGGCATATTGTCTTTTGAATAGAGACAATTCATCTTTGTTACAACATGCGCTACCTCTGTATTAAAAGATCAGAACAAAGATCATGGCAGTTCCTCTAATTTTTGGTACCCATGGCCTGATATACCAGCATGCCAAAAATCTAAAATTCCCCATAGAAAACTAGGATGTTCTGAAATCAGATTTCAAATACATCAGGTTAAGTAACCTAATTTTGAAGTACTTGGCTGCCTTGGAAAGAAGGGAGGGTGGAAAGAGCCGGCCAAGTATTAACATAGAAAATAATATCCTATGGGTGTACCCAGGGAGTCTGTTTCCCAGAGAAGCTATCGAGAACACATTTGGTTCTCAACACCACTGTCTGCACTCCAGACAGTCCATCAAAACTATCCTCTCAAAGCCTACTTGACACTGATTATACCAGGTAGCTTCTCTATGGAATACAAACAAGATAACTTCACCTCGAACCAGTGCCACAGCTGACACACAGACAAGGAATACCTTTGCCATCATGTCTGCACTCACAAGCATGTCAGAGACCGTTACTCTGTGCTCTTTCTTTTCCTGCAGCCCCAGCTCTTCCAGCCTCCCTAGCACAAAGGCAGTTGTTCCCCAGGGAAGAACATAACCAGGAGTTTCAAATATGCTCCTGCAAATACCTGACCAAAAAAAAAAAAAAAAAAAAAAAAAAACCCCACACACATTAAAAAAAAATATCCAAACCTGCAGCTGCAAGAGTGTTGGAGGCCATTGTATGTGTCTCCTGTCTTTGCCAAAGGAGAGGAAAAGGACTCACTCTGAGCATGTCTGGCTTGCACAACTTTTATCAAGAGTCTAAGATCCAAAAAACAGAAACCTACACACTTCACATGCCAAGTTGTACAGAGCAATACTTTACAGTCTCTCAGTCCCAAGAAAAAAGACAAAAGGACACAGAGACAGGTGTTTCTACATCAGAGTAATCATCAGCTTCTGTCTTTATTAACAATTAGGTCTCAGTGCTATTGCAGAGCAGCACTGCACTTCCCTACCAGCAAGGAGGAAGAGTGCCCAGACAACATGTCTGGACAAGATCAAAGGGCCTTCAAATTAGCAGCCTGAGGATACCTGTGCCTGTGCACAACCTGCAAAGCAGGTGGCCCCCCACCTGTGCCCCGCCAGCAGCGCGCAGCCGTCCACACTGTTCCCAGACCCGAGAACTCGCCTTTGTGCTGCAGCAATAATCCCTTACACACCCAGAATCTCTA